TTTATGATTTCACTTTGTCCCTCATTATCCTCTTAACGATATCTCTTCCTGTTGTTGAATAGATGTCATATGTCAAAAACGTCTTCTTTTAGCTGTCCTTGTTGAATCTTTAAGTCTACCAAGGCGGTACGCCAACTTTTAGCTGACTCCAATTCTAATCTCTTGTTAATCAGGTTTCTTTAAAAAAGGATGTCCACGGCCTCTGATCTTCCGTTTTCTGATGTTCTCTACATATGAGGCAACTCTTTGCGCTGCACTCTAGTCAATTGTGTGGCCAGTACGGGTGGTGTATTCACCACCGATCCTTCCATATCCATTTTTGTATGTAATCTTTGATCCTTGTGCTGATTACCCTTTCCGTCTCCCCGATGTATTTTTGTTTACCTTTTCATGTTGTGTGGTGAAAAATGCTGTCCTTTCCTTCGGGATTGTGCGAATGTTCCATTTCAATAGTAGCATTTTCGAGCCAGCTTGCAGTAGGGCTAATGTATTAATTCTTTTTCCTGCTATCTTTTCATCACGATCCGTATGTTTATTTTTGCTGTCAAAGGATGGGCTTCACTTGTCTCTTTTACAAGTTGTAATATGGTACTACCAATGGCGATGCCGGCGACACGTCCACGGTCCTACTCTGGAAATGATGATGCATACAACGGACTCCGGACTAGGTGCATTTCTCTAAGGCTTCCTACCAATATGACCAAGTTGCGAAAACAAGGTCATACAACTTCTTTCTCTAATATTGTTATTTCAGGAGATTCATCCCAACCCACTTAATCTTCGTATCTACAAATTACTTTCGCACTTATCGACTCGATTCGAAGGATGTTTCCTGGAAGCAGCATCGCTATGACTGCTTTATTAAAGCTATTTGGTTGCTAACCCAAGGGAATCTTTCTTCCTTTTCTTGTAGGATAAAAACTTTGCATCTTTTACCTAATACTTTCATTCCTACTCAAAATGAAATATGCTTACGACATAAGGGCGCTTCTTTATTATAAGAGAATTTTTATATAAAACTTTATTCTGGCTTTTCTGTTTTCACATATTTTTAAGTGCCTTATATTACATCTTATTTTGCTCATGCTTTAGTTTAAGTATTAGTTCGCATATATATCATTCCCAAATATATCTATGCTTATTTTACCTAAAGCTTTATTTCGCTTTTTTTCAGCGCCGCTATTCCTTCTGGTCTTTATGTTGGTTTCCCCGAAAATAACCTGCAATTAATGTTGCACGTTGGAGCCAAGGGTGGTTTGGTGTGTTTGACCGTTTTTTAGTTGATCAAAGACAATTTTTCTTTGTTTGGTATTGCTCTTGTCATAGTCGAATTAATATTTTGATCAAATGATTTAAGTTAAAATTCGTCTTTAATTTTCATCAGTTTCTTAACATTGAATTCATGAAGCATTTTTTTATCTTCATGAGAGGATATGAATTTATTTTTCATCTTTGCTTAATATTAGCTTTTAAAGTAATATAACTTAAGAAATACAGAGCAGGCTTATTCCATGCATTTAATTATGAGAATAGTTATCTGCATATGATGTCCACTTGTGCATTTGTCTTGCAAAACGTATTCGTTCGCAATTCTTCTACTTATTACTATCATAAAGTGTAATAAGACTGGAGCACCACATTGTCCTAACTTGTATTCATTCGACTTTTACCAAAATTTGTATAAAAATAAGTACTTATCGAAGATATGAACACGAAGATGGTGTGGCCTTTTGTGTGTTCGCAGTCTCCTTATGTTTTATAGAGGTTGCTTGACCTTGTTTTCGCAACTTGGTCATATTGGTAGGAGGACTTAGAGTAATGCACCTAGTCCGGAATCCATTGTATGCATGGTCATTTCCAAAGTCGGACCGTGGACATGGTACATTTCCATAAATTTCGACACAAAAGGCCATACCATCTTGGTCTTCATATCTTCGAAATGAAAGTTATTTCAACATGGATTGACT